TTTTTAAATTAATTAATTTTTTTTACTGAAGGATAACTGCTTTATAGAATTTTGGTTTTTGTAAAACCTCAACATGAATTAGCCATAGATATACATATATCCCCTCCCTTCCGAACCTCCCTCCCATTTCCCTTCCCACCCCACCCCTCTGGGTTGATACAGTGCCCCTGTTTGAGTTTCCTAAGCCACACAGCAAACTCCCGTTGTCTATTTTACACATAGTAATGTAAGCTTCCATGTTACTCTTTCAATACATCTCACCCTCTCCTCCCCTCTCCCCATGTCCATAAATCTATTCTCTATGTCTGTTTCTCCATTGCTGCCCTGTAAGTAAATTCTTCAGTACTATTTTTCTAGATTCCATATATATGCAGTAGAATACAATATTTAATCTTTCTCTTTTTGACTTACTTCATTCTATATAAAAGGTTTTAGGTTCATCCACCTCATCAGAACTGACTCAAATGCGCTCCTTTTTTATCCCATTGTGTGTATGTACCACAGCTTCTTTATCCATTCATCTGTTGATGGATATCTACGTTGTTTCCATGTTCTAGGTACTATAAATAGTGCTGCAATGAACAACGGGATATATGTGTCTTTTTCAATTTTGGTTTCCTCAGGGTATATGCTTATGAGTGGGATTGTTGGGTCCTATGGTGATTTTACTCCTAGTTTTTTAAGGCATCTCCATACCGTCTTCCATTGTGGCTGTATCAATGTACATTTCTACCAACAGTGCAAGAGCGTTCCCTTTTCTTTACACCCTCTCCAGCATTTATTGTTTATAGACTTTTTGATGACAGCCATTCTGACCCATGTGAGGTGATATCTCATTGTAGTTTTGATTTGAAATTTCTCTAATAATGAGCTAGGTTGAGAATCTTTTCATGCGTTTGCTAGCCATGTGTATGTCTTCTTTGGAGAAATGTTTGTTTAGGTCTTTTCCCCATTTTTTGATTGGGTTGTTTCTTTTTCTGATATTGAGTTGTATGAGCTGCTTGTATATTTTGGAAATTAATCCTTTGTCAGTTGTTTCATCTGTTACTATTTTCTCCCATTCTGAGGGCTGTCTTTTCACCTTGTTTATAGTTTCCTTTGCTGTGCAAAAGTTTTTAAATTTAATCAGGTCCCATGTGTTTACTTTTGTTTTTATTTCTGTTGCTCTAGGAGGTGGGTCATAGTGGATCTTGCTTTGATTTATGTCATCCCTAAGGAGACAAAAGAACTGTACACAGAAAATTACAAGACACTAATGAAAGAAATCAAAGACAACATAAACAGAGAAATATTCCATGTTCCTGGATGGGAAGAATCAATATTGTGAAAATAAATATACTACCAAATGCAATCTATAGATTCAATGTGATCCCTATCAAATTACTAGTGGTATTTTTCACAGAATTAGAACAAAAAAATTAGAACAAAAAAATATGGAAACACAAAAGACCCCGAACAGCCAAACCAGTTTTGAAAAAGAGGAATGGAGCTGGAGGAATCAACCTTCCTGACTTCAGATTATACTACAAAGCTACAGTCATCAAGACAGTATGGTACTTGCACAAAAACATAAATATAGACTAATGGAACAAGACAGGAAGCCCAGAAATAAACCCATGCACCTATGATTGCCTTATTTTTGACAAAAGAGGCAAGAATATACAATGGGGCAATGACTAGCCTCTTCAATAAATGGTGCTGGGAAAACTGGATAGCTACATGTAAAAGAATGAAATTAGAACACTTCTGAACACCATACACAAAGATAAATTCAAAATGGATTAAAGACCTAAATGTAAGACCAGAAACTATACAACTCTTAGAGGAAAACATAGGCAGAACACTAGATGACATAAATCAAAGCAGACTCTTAATCTCTTATCTCAACTACTGTCTTTATCTCTTATCCAGTCTCCCTTGGTCTTATCTTTCTGCCTGACCAATACATTATTTACAGGGCTACTGGCTTCTATGAGAAAATAAGGACTGACTTTATTTATCCTTTGGATCTTCTTTTCCTGCCCTAGGTCCAGGCACTAAAATATTTATTTAAATTATTTTATGTCTGCTGCTTCTCATTTGAGAAATCTCTTGAGTACCCCCTGGTTTTCAGAAAAAGTTATAAAGAGTTGACTCTGCAACCAAGTCTTCCAGGTTGTAGACCACACTGTCCTTTAGCACAGCATCCTACCATACACACAGCAAGTCTTTGTAAACGACAAGCTCTCCCTCTGTAATGTGCACTTTCTCTTGACACTACTTACAAAACACCTTCAAGGTGCAAGTTAAGCATCTGTTTCATCACAAAATCTTCTTCAGTAATGCTTTCAGATTAAAGTTCTTCACTCTCTCTGCCTTCTGAGGACTTTCTTTATACTTCTATTTATGGGACTCTGCCTGGTCTTATGCTAAATTTCCCACAGATCTATCCAGTTATCAGACTTCTTTCCTAGTAAGCAGGAAGCTATATTTCAGGCTAAGCTTTGTCTTTCTCCTCCACCTGCTATTCCTCTGCAAGATTCATTTTTGAAGGCTCTGTATTTAGCAAAGTAATAATACATGCTCAGTAAATATTTCTTGAATACATAATTTCCCAATGAACTATGTGTTCTTTGAGGACAGATATTGTGCCTTATTCATTTATATGCCTCACAGTGACTGGAAAATACTGAGTAACAGAAATTGCTACAGGTTGGTTTAAATATTAGACTTATTCAGAGTGGCCTTCTGGGTTAGTGAAATATTTGGTTAATACTAAAACAATCTGTCATTTCTTCATTGTAAAAAGTTGTGAGTATTTTATATATGCTGAATCTCATTCCAGCAACAGGAGGTAGAACTGTAAACAAGATAAACCACACATAACTTGAAGTAGAGGGAATAGTTGTATAGCTAATAAGTTCACTGTCCCCCAAATAAACAAAGTTTTTCTAAATACCTGAACGCAATGCTCAGTCATACCAACTTGAAACCCAAGAATTATCAGTGACTTCTCCCGACATCCTGCTTCAAGTGGTATTTGGCAAAATGTAAAATTGCTGTCACTGGATGATGGTGGCAGTGGTGACTGCATTATCCTACTCCTTTTCTCTTGTAGCTCAGTTGGTAAAGATTCTGCCTGCAATGCAGGAAACCTGGGTTTGATCCCTGGGTCGGGAAGATTCCCTGGAGAAGGAAATGGCAACCCACTCCAGTACTCTTACCTGGAGAATCCCAAGGACAGAGAAGCCAGGCAGGCTACAGTCCATGGGGTTGTAAGAGCTGGATACAACTTAGCAGCTAAACCACATTCCTTTTCAAGTTCAATGCTATTCCTCAAATTCAAGCCCTCATTTTGCCTTCTGGAACAACTAAAAGGATTTTCTAACAACCCTTTCCACTTTCGTACTTCCCATCTCTAACATTCCCTTTTCAGTATTGCCAGAATAATTTCCTTAAGAAGTAGTGATCTTATTACACAGCTCTGCTCAAAAGCCCTCAATGGCTTTGCACTGCAAACACAGCAGAACACTGTTCAGACTTTTTAGCCTTATACTCAAGGCATCTTCTAAAACTGACTGCTAATTTGTCATTCCAAACGCATTGGTACAGTTGTTCCTATAATCCAAACTCTGCTCACAATTTGCTTTTGATTTTGTATATTTGAATATTTCACATAAAACACATCTCCATCTGTTTTATTCAAATTCTGCCTATACTTTTAGGCCCAATTCAAGGATCTTGAATTTGTGATTTTTTTTCCCTTCTACATATAAAAGTTCAATTTACTTTGTGCTTTTCTCTCTAAGTTCACCTGTTTCTAACTCATATTTTCATTATTTAGGAATATAGCTTCTGTATCCAACTAGAGTGTATTTAATCACTGATTCAATAAATATGTAATAGGCACTTACTGTATTTCTGTTATTCCAAAGCACCAAATATGTATTATATTCAGAAGTAAATATTGAATAAATTTTCAAACAAAAATGCACAAAAATCAAAATAGTATTTTTCTAAAATGAACAATAATATCCACCAAAGAGATACAAAAGAATGGTAAAAACAGCAGCTCATCAAATTTTAAGTATGTATGAAAGGGTTGGTAAGTTAGGAGAAAATAGAATCAAATAAAAAGCTAAGAATATTTGTTCAAAATAATATGGAAATATTGAATCAACCTTGCGCATATCAATTTATGGATGTGTCTATAGTTTAGAGATGCAAATTTATAAACACATGCATAATATGTCCATCAACTGGAAATTACATACAGTGTCAACCCTTATTGAAATGAGAATTGCAAGGAAATGTTTCCTTAGTTACCATTTAATAATTTTTGTTAAATTTAATAAAAGTTTATGTGATGAAGTATTTTTTTTTCTTTTCAAAGGAAACAGCTTTAGAAGATGATTGATGCCTGCTATTATGAGTCTATATTTGTACTTCCTTATTTTAGAAACTTTTCAAAAATATAAAAATACACTTAAAGCATTTCCAGTTCAACTAAAAATAAAGATAAAAAGGTGATTATTTATAGGCAATCATATTCATGATGATAGACTCTCAGAAGCCAACTCCAAATATAAATTTTAAATGCTTTTTGGAAAGAGTTGAGAATGAAAACATTTACATAATTTCTTAGAAACCCTGGCTTTTTATTGCTGCACTTAAATATTCCCTCAGGGCAAAGGAGCAGTTACTTCAAAGATTTATTTGATAATGGAACATTTGATTTCTTTGTTTTTCCTTTCCAATGTGGGTAGGTCTGTTGTTTCCACTCTATGGCAGTGTGCTATATTTTAAAATTTGAATTGGCTCACTAGTGATAACAAAAAATGAGTCTGTTTTGGCAGATTAAGCAAACATACTAATGCCAGCAATAAGTATATAAATTACATAAATATACTAGATTATTATAAAACCATCCACTCAGGTATCAGTCATCTTCGATAGCAGACCTGCCACTTCATAATGATATAACTGGTAATTGATATCAAATGTCTGAAACTTCTACTTACCTGCCTATCCACTTCTGGGAGCAAAAGCAGGAGGTACTGTTGAAAATGCTGAGGTAAGGAAGCAAATGTATGTTTATTTATTAATGCCCTCAAGTTAGTGTTGACAAGAATAGATCCCGGGGTTTCTATGTCAATGTCCTCAGCTTTGGTCCATTTCAAGTGTCCTGCGATAAATAAGCAAGAGGTATGAATTCACTATAGATTGGGAAAACATACACCTGTACACACACATAAAATGTATACTGAAGGTATATATATATTTGATAATGTATTTAATTGTGTCTCTTTTCAGAGTAGTGATATTTCAGAAGAAAATCTCCAATGTTTCTTTGCGTTTCTATCTTGCCTTAGTTGTCTTTAATCTTCGTAACGTCTACTTCACTCAATACCATCTGTTTATTTAACCCAAAATAGCACCAGGTCTAGATAAAGTTGATAAAAATATCTGGAACGCAGCATTAAAAATGAGTCAAAAATGCAGGATAGAGCAAAAATACAGGGAATAGATTAAGTAGTCAGGATGCACATTTATAGGAATTTGAGAATGAAAAAACACAGCAGATCGCAGAGGGGCAATATTTGAAGAGCAAATGTTTCTCCAAGTTTAAGAACTAAAAAATGACAAGAGTCCTCAGAAAAAGCAACACACCAAATCACAAAAAGGATAAATACTCATTCCTCCATCTGATGTGTTGAAACAGCAAAATATCAAAAATAAAAAGAATATCTTGAAATTATTTTGAGCAAAAACAGATTACCTGCAAAGAGAGCAATGTAAGACCCAGGAATCGTATTACCAATAAATAACAGATGACAATGAAATATCTTCAAAGGGCCAAAAGAAAATAAGTTTTGATCTAGAATTTCATTAACAAAAAAGTCCTTATAAATGGCAATGACAGAAATGATATAAGAATATTTTCAGTACTATCCAAAATGGAAATTCTCTCAGATATGCAGATGATACCACACTAATGACAGAAAGAGAAGAGGAACTAAAGAGCCTCTTGATGAAGGTGAAAGAATAGAGTAAAAAGCTGGCTTAAAACTCAGCATTTAAAAAAGCCTAAAATGGTGACATCTGGTCCCATCACTTCATGGAAATAGATGAAGAAAAAGTGGAAACAGTAACAGATTTTATTTTCTTGGGCTCCAAAATCACTGAGAATGGTGACTGCAGCCACAAAATTAAAGGATTCTTTCTTCTTGGAAGAAAAGCTATGACAAACCTAGGCAGTGTATTAAAAAGCAGAGACATGACTTTGCTGACAAAGGTCCGTATGTCAAAGTTATGGCTTTTCTGTAGTCATGTACAGATGTGAGAGCTGGACCATAAAGAAGGCTGAGTGCTGAAGAATTGACGCTTTTAAATTGTGGTGCTGGAGAAGATTCTTGAAGAGTCCTTTGGACTGCAAGAAGATCAAACCAGTCAATCCTAAAGGAAATCAACCCTGAATATCCATTGCAAGGATTGATGCTGAAGCTGAAGCTCCAATACTTTGGCCACCTGATGCAAAGAGCCAACTCATTGGAAAAAGACAGTGATGCTGGGAAAGGTTGAGCACAAGCGGATAAAGGGGCGACAGGAAGAGAAGGCTGGATGGCATCGCTCTCTCAACGGACATGCTGTTGCTGCTGCTGCTGCTAAGTCGCTTCAGTTGTGTCCGACTCTGTGCGACCCCATAGACGGCAGCCCACCAGGCTCTGCTCTCCCTGGGATTCTCCAGGCAAGAACATTGGAGTGGGGTGCCATTTCCTTCAATGCATGAAAGTGAAAAGTGAAAGTGAAGTCGCTGAGTCGTGTCCGACTCTTTGGGACCCCATGGACTGCAGTCTACCAGGTTCCTCTGTCCATGGGAGTTTCCAGGCAAGAGTACTGGAGTGGGTTGCCATTGCCTTCTCCACAATGGACATGAGTTTGTGCAAATTTGGGAGATAGTGAAGGACAGGGAAGCCTGGAGTACTGCAATCCATGGGGTTACAAAGAGTCAGACACAACTTAGCAACTGAACAATAATCCCTTAGAGAATCATGCTGAAAAATCACTAGTGCATGCTTTTAACAAGCAAAGAAATTAACTCAAAGAATGAATGGGTGGGTTGCAGAAGTAATAAAAAACTAGAAGATGAATAGATATAACTCCAAATAAATACTAACAGTGGAAAATAAAACTAACAGGAGTTAAAATGGAAAAAAGAAAAAGAAAACAGTACACACTTGCATGAGAGATGATACAGTGTGACTGAATTGAGACTCTGAATAACTCTGGCACTGTTTGGGAACAAAAAGATACCATCTAGTTTTTAACTTTGTTAAAACTCTATAGGTAGAGTCTATAGGTGCCATTGGGAAAAATGAAAGACTTAGAACTTCCAAATAAATTCCTGGAAAGAAAACTCAATCACACGAAGTCATAAAAGGAGAAAAAAAATGTAATTAAGTCCCCCAACATAATAAAAAAATATACAAGTGGATTTTCATATTATTTTTAAAAGTAACACAATCCAATTATATGCTGCCTTACAAGAGAGATACTTAAAGAGCACATGAATAGAAGAAAATGAGGGAAAAAACTCAAAACAGCAGGCAGACATTCAACACAACAAGAAAAGCAATACTACAATATTAACATCAGATAAAGATAAACAAAGCTTAAAAAAAAAAAACCACTTTTGGGGGGTAAGAAAGTAACTCCTTAGGTATAAAATGAATAATTCACTGGGAAAATACAATGACCTTAAGCCTGCATCCATTTAAACTGCATAACAGTCAAACTTTAAAATTGAGAGAATTAAAAAGAGAAATTGGTACTCTATAATGCTAGTGGGATATCTGAACATATCTTATCAGACATTAGATGATGAAGAACCTGCCTGCAATACAGGAGACCTGGGTTCAATCCCTGGGTCAGGAAAATCTCCTGGAGAAGGGAATGGCTACCCACTCCAGTCTTCTTTCCTGGGAAATTCCATGGACAGAGGAGCCTGCTGGGCTACAGTCCATGGGGTCACAAAGAGTTGGACATGACTGAGTGACTGAGATGACAGGTAAAAAACTTGTCTTAAGAATACAGAGGACTTTAAAAACTCTATAATCAATCTTAAGCCAATGAATTTAACATACAGCACTGAACTAAGGCATTTTTTTTAGTCAGCACTCAAGGAACAGTTAAAAAAAAAAATCCATAACAGACCAGTGAGTCTCAACAAATACTGAAGAATAATAGAAAATCTTATCTTTTTATCCACAAAGAAGTAAACTTAGATATCAATAACAGAAATGTAGCAACTCTCTGGTCTTCCCACACCCACTATATGTTTGGAAACTTGGAAGCAAACTTCTAAGTAATTCTAAGCAATGGAAATTACAAAATATTTAGATTCTAAGTGACATGCCAAAAGTTGTAAAAAGCAGATAAATTGGTTTTAAAGATAAATTGTGCATATTTAAGAGTAGAAAAAATACTGAAAATTCAAGAGTTGAGTGTGCAAATCGAGAAGTTAATGAATGAACTATAGAATAAAAACTGAAGAAGAAAGACTGTCAAGAAGCAGAATGGATATTCATAAATAGAAAAGAATTATAACCATCTAGAACAGAAAAAGGATTTTTCTCATTAGCATTAATAAAATAGGTATGCCTCTAATGAGAGATGGCTTAAATAAACATTAATAGGAATAAAGGGTAGGCACATAATTTGAGGTATAGTATAGATTCAAAGGCAAATATAATTACAATGAAAATTAGATTTAAAAAAGTATGTGCGTGCATATGCTCAGTCATGTTAGACTGCTACCAGGCTCCTCTACCCATGGAATTTTCCAGGCAAGAATGCTGGAGTGGGTTGCCATTTCCTTCCTAAGGGAATTTTCCTGACCCAGGGATTGAACCTGCATCTCTTGCGTCTCCTGCACTGGCAAGCAGATTATTTACCACTGTGCCACCTGAGACAGGTGTAAAAAGCATACTACTATGATTTTAGCCAACACCTTTGAAGACAGATAAACTAAAATATTTCAAGTTCACAAATTTTCAAATTATATTAAAAATAGCAAACCTCCATAAATTTGTGTAAATTCTTGTAAAATAAATAGAAAACCCTCCTACTCAAAGTGTACACACATCACATATTACAAACAGCTCTGAAGACTAATTTTACCAATACATCAAGCAATTCTCCCACCACTTATCTTATATATATATTTCAGAGAATAGGTAAAGAAAGATACTCTTAAGTTTACTTTATGAAGTTAATATAACTTCTATTTCAAAATAAGGACATATAAGGATAATATGAGAAAGAGAATTTGTGGCCAATCTCACTTATAAACACAAAAATGTACAATTAAAAAAGAAAAAATCTAAAGGATTCCCAAAAAACTCCTGACATTTGTTAGGAGTGAAGTCAAAGTGATACAGATGTATGTTTGATTAGCATCTTTATTCTTCTACATATTTAAAGTGTTTCACAGGAAAATAAAATAGACTACCAGGAGAAAGGAATTAGGAAGAAGTTATTTTTTCTCAGCAGGGGAGGCAAAGGTAAAACTTAGACACAGAAATGTTGAAAATATAGAAAAGGAATCTGCTTGATTCTAATCAATGGTTGAACTACTCTCCATGAGAGGAAGTTGGGGTCATTTACCAAGGGTGACTTTGAGAGGGAGTATTGGGGAAATGGGAAAATTGTAAAACTTTAGAAACATGTTATGGACAATGTAAGAAGTCAAACTTATGCTGTTGGTTACTATCTGGCATGGTTCAAAATATTTAAGAGCATCAAAGGGGAAAAAAGAAAGATTCAGAGAGGTACATAGGCTTTTATGACAGAATCAAAAAACAAGATCTATTTCAAAGATGTCCATCTAAGCTAAAACATTCATTATAATCTCGAACTAAGTGCAGATGAACTTATTGCTAAATTTGTTGCCACACAGGATGTTTAATCCCATTTTAATTATCCTAACATACTTACTCTTAATTGGTTTAAGAACAAGCTCATTATATCTGATCTTATCTTATACCTGTCTTATCTTATCAAAGCTGGTACCTCACCTCCCTACACTAATCAGAGGAAGAAAAGATGCAGTTATCTTAGTGTTTAATTCCTGGACACTAGAGAGTATAAGACTTCCCTGGTGGCTCAGATGGTAAAGTGTCTGCC